GTTACTTTTTTCGAATGAATAACAATTATATTTACTATTTTTAAGTAACATTTGTGGTAACGCAATTATATTTTGAGGGTGATGATAACAATTTCACTAGTTTAAATTAAACTTTTACACAAATATTTATTATTTGTGCAAATAATATTTTATTAATTTTATTAATGTTTTATTAATATGTAAAATTGGATTTCATTCTTAATATTATTTCTTTATCAAATTGTAAATAAATATAAATATTATAAAACGCGATTTTATATAAGAATCGAGACAAACAAAAAAATTAAATAACTTTTAAATCAATAAAGAATTATGCTTAAACATAGATATTCAAACGTAATAATAGAAAAACCTAAAATTTGTATTAAATTTCTATTATTTAAAAACTGGGTATTAAATATCCTTAAGTTTTTGCTGGGTCTGTAAGTTTTTCTTTGATGTTAAATTACTTTATTATTCAATGACTTTTTTGTTATTCCTCTTCATTGATAATTCTCTTGTCAATATTTAAATATTATTTAATTTATTAGTTTCTAAGAATTTTACATAATTATGTGCCTAATAATAAATTTTTAGTTTCAAGCGTATTGTACATATAATTCGTGTTTTGTAGAATTCACAATTTCAACATACATATTTTCTAGATATGAATCGATAATAGTGACCACAATAATGCTTATCCGCACGGAAACCGCATTTTTCGCGGTCAGCAACCTCTATACAAACAAAATCACCTTCAATTTTTTGTAATCTATAAAAAAAGATTTCAATCAATTTCAAGAATCTTAATGTTGACCCTCGAACCCATTGTTTTATCTTTACTTTTATATTTAGCTTCCACATTTTTCAGCAAAATTTCGTCTGAGAGAATTTAATTTTTTAATGTAGATTTTTTTAACAGCACATTAAAATAATTTCATAACTTATTTAAAAACTTTTCAATCGCGCACCGAAGGTGCAGAGATTTTTTAATTTTTGAATCCGATAAATTTGAAGAGTATAATTATTTCAATTAGGGAATTAGTTGAAATACTGCATTTAGACAAATATTGTCCAATTAATAGCAAGATAGGTCTTTATTATTACATTTCTGTTATCATTTAATAATTTCAGAAAAAAATTGGAAAGAATAGTTTTCTAAAATCTCCTAATATAATATGAATAAGAAGATATATTACTTACTTAATTGGAGCCACATGATCGATAAATCACTACGCAATCTTGTGTTAGGACTTGTAGCCTCTGCGGATAGAACTTTACGAATTAACGTACGTGATTTTCGTGATTTTACTTTATAATGCGCCCGGTGAGCAGACCGGTTGCGATATGACCAGTGTACAGATCAAAACCGGTCAGCATCTGACGATCCAATGGATTATAGAGCCCATCCGCGAGAAAGAGTAGTGGTAACACGCAATAACACGCGAGCGCAGAGAGTCGCGCGGGGAAATCGCACCAACAGGAGGAGGAAACAGTGAACATGACTCAGAAGCGAACTTCTCTTGTATATACTAAAATGTATTGTTAACATTTATTGATAACACTGGCATATATACATATGTATATATATTATCAACTTCTGCGGAATCGTGTAAAAATGAGAAAATGAGATCTCGCGATAAAGGAAATTTTAAATTCTACAATTACATATATAAAAATGAACTGCTAAAATAGAGATTTTTGAAAACAATAAATAATAATAAAAAATTAAGTAATAGATTTAAATATATATATAATAATAATAATAACCTGTTGTAATGGGACTGCAATCAGGGGAAACATGGGAATGCAATCGCAATCAAACTGAGAGTAACCGAGTTTATTTTTTAAATTTCACCCAGATAATTTCTGTGTACTAAGAAATATAATATCAATGTAAAGGAATTAAAAAATATTTATTTACAAATATACATTTAAAAAATACAATGACATCGTTTAATATATTCGCAAAAAAAACGTGTATTAACTTGTGAATATTTAAGCTATTAGTTAAACAAGCTGATTACGTGTAAACTAGTTACAGAAAGATAATTGAGAATTAGATAAAGTGAAAATATATTTACTCTCAAATAAATGTAAAAAATATAATAAATTAATACATAAATGTTTCGACTATGCTAAGTCTTTCTCAGCATACAATTAAGTTAATCATTAAAAAAAAAAAAAGAATCAAAACAAAATCATAAAAATAAAACATTAAACCATTATAGATATTTAACTGCTTAATTAAATGTCTAATTAATTTTCAGCGCTGCTCCTTAATGTTCTCCTTTGTATCTATAAAACCAAAGAAAAAGAACAATAACTTATGTATGACGTTAATATTTCTACTAAGAGAGACTTCGGAATACCTAGAATTTTGTATCACTTGAGAGATTGTTCGATAACATGATCAAGCGTGACGATGTTCAAGTGAATATGGGAAACAACCGCATTGATTTTAAAACAAACAAAAATTCCCGACAATTAAAAATGATATCATGCTTTGTAAGCATATGCAGGATGCGGGAATTATAGACATTAAATATTTATTCGTGATGACACCATCAAATAGATAAATTAACGAAAAATGCTTCATATTGATATCATTTATATTGACAATGTTTTGTGTACAAATATATCATTATGCGAATATTATCGTCTGACACGTATAAAATTTCCTCGCAATATAGAAAAAGCCAATTACAAACATACGCATGACACTATAAAAAGACACTAGAAAAAGACACTACATAAAGTATTTAAAAAATTATATAAAGGATTATAAAAAAAGTATACAAAATAATAATAAATAAAATAGACGTTAAATGCAAAAAAAAATATAGTAAAAGAATAAAAATAAAACATACATTTATTTAAAAAATACAAATAGTATTAAAAAGTTTTCGTATTATTTATTTTTATTCAATCCCTTATTAATCTTATTGCTTATTATAGTAGTCTATTGCTTTGAAGACTGCCGAGCTGATATCATCCAAGTAATTCGATGTCGCGTACGAACGGTTCAAACGTCTTGCCTGTGCAAATAATCAAATCATTAAGTCTATAGGTAATTATTTAAGGGATGTTTATTTAAGGGATGCTTGCTTTCCAGCAAGAGACACAGGCGATACAAAGTGACATAGTGTTCAACACAGTGTATCATTTTCTAACAACGGTACAACATGATATAAATTTACATTAAAAAGAATGCTTTTTAGCAACGTACACAGACAACACTATATAAAATAGTGTATGATTTCGTGCTTTCCATTTATGACTTAGTCGACACTGTTCAATTGTGTCATTTTCACTTCACGATATCAAATTTTTACATTTCGTTATTTTTCTAGGAGTAATATTTTGAGTTTCAAAATTTCATTCGATAATTAATATTTTGATATACGTGTATAAAATCTTTTCCTTTATTTCTATGGTGGTAAAGTAAAAAGACTAAGCACCGTTTCAACTACAAGTCAACTGTATCACACAGTGTATGACTATGTTTCGTTGCTAGAATTAAGAAGTATCAAATACATGGCTATCAATTATTTAAAATAGATAAAAAATTTCAGTGCTGTAACAATACAGCAGCCCTTTTAAACAACATTAGCCCTTTTAAATACCATTATATATTCCTGTGTCTCACACTGTGTTTGTGTCTCCTAAATAGAAAACTCCCTAAATAAACGTCGAAGCTCACACATGCACATTCATTCATTATTCATAAAAATAATTAACATTATGTGTCTATTCATAATGCGTTAGAATTAAGAATTATTCTATAGAATTAGCGAAATATAAATATACGGCATAAGAAATATAAAAATTAATTAATTCTGATCGAAGATTTGCGGGAACATAAATGAAACACATTCATTGATTACGCTCTTATTATTATTATTATTATTACTTTTAGATTTAGTTGCACTGTCAACCATCCTAAGCTCATTGTTCTTTCATACTCTGCAAACGAGAATGGTTTGAAATGAATTAAAACGGATTCAGATTTTCAGAAATATTGATTCACGAATGTTAAAATGAATGCTTTTCAATCCTGAATGCATTTTTATTCATTTATAGAAACTGCATGGAGCACATCTCTGCCTTTCTAAATCTAAAAATAATATTAGCTTTTTCTGTGCATTGTGAATACTGTTCAATTCAAAATTTTGAATAGGAAATGCAGTTTTTCAATCCAATTGTATCCAATTGAAATCAAAAAAAGTATTCGCTATTTAAAATACGCATTCGGATAGAAAAAAATTTCAATTCATTTTATTCTCGTTTGCTGGGTAGACACTTTAGTATTATTTTTGTTATTAAGTGGTTTTTAGAAAAAAAAAATTAATTTAAATTTCATATACTATACTTAAGATAGTCACATCTCAAAGCATTATTAAAAATATCATAGATTGTTCTATTGTTGATGCTAACTATCTATGTAAAACTTAATCGTAATTCTTTTATTGGTTTAAAAATTACATGATTTTTTAATCATATTGATTTTCATGTAAAATCATTTTATAATACTTACTTGCAAATTTGAAGGAAGAAATATTAAGAATTAAATCAAATTTTACATATAATAAAATTAAATATTGGTGAAAAAATTCATTTGGGTTCTTACTTGTTAAAAATATTTTAAAGAACATGTTTCATCAAATTTGCAAATAAATACTATAAATACTATAAAACACGACATAAAAATCAAGGCAAACAAAAACATTTAAAATAATATTTAAACCAATAAAAATAGAACAATTTATGAAAATTTTATATTTTTAATAATGCTTTAAAATGTGACACATACATCTTTAAAGAAAATCGCACTAAAAATTTGTTTAATAAATGTCATGTAAACCAATACCAATAATATTTTGAAAAAAAGTCAAAAACTTCTCGGTTCAAGATTAACATTTTTTTAAATTTATTTATTTTTTTAAATTAAATTCTCTCTTATCAGGATCTATCCGCTACGATAAAGATGGGTGATAATTATTCAAATTTTGAAAGTGCTTCGAGATCCATATTCAAAAAGAAAAAAATAAATAAATATATTTTATTTTACCTTGTTATTTTTCCAAAAATTGTTTTCTCCGAAGACGTTCTCGCAGATAGACCATTGCAAACAAATGTAGTTTATTAAAGATGCGCCGAGAAAAACTGTCATCAACACTTGCAACACATAAATGCCATAGATCCTGATATGCTGAAGGAAAGATTTACTGACGGAAGTATCCAATAAGCTGGTACTGTTGTCAGGCGATGATGTGGTAGTAACAGTCTGAGGCACATTCGTTACTGGGGCGGCAGGTTGCCCGATCTGATTCACGTTGCTCGAATAGATCGGATAAGTAGGATAGGAATAAGGAAGTTGAGTATTGTTATAATTTGTATTCGGTACCGCCGGTATCGCCGGTGCCGCCTGTGTCGTTGATATCTGTCTGGTCTGCCTGCTCACATATGACATAGTATTTCGCACACATGCAAGAGCAAGTAAACAAATGATCACTGCAGGAAATTCCATTTTTTCTCACTTTGTAGGACCAGAGAAACTTAGAAAAAGCGCTTCAAGATCTACTTGAAAAGAAGAAATAAATAAATACTTAATAATAACTTATTATTATTATTTAATGTTAAATTATAATTGCAGTGCGTTATTTCTTTAATTATTTAATTGTTATCTCTTTAATTATTAATTTAGTTTTATGGAATTTCGTACGTACGAGATATATTGTTCGTTCAACGATCTTGATCGAAGTAATATCACTCAGCAAGAATTTGGAACTGCAACATGAGAACTGGCCGTTCAGTTCTTATATACTTCTCATTTGTACAAAGCTCTTCCGTACAAATGGGAGGTATTTCCAAAAGCATTCCAGGTTCGTACGTACTTAGGAGTAGTGTGGGATTCAATCTGAACAAATTGGCTTAGTCCGTCCAGATTGCCCGCCCTCATCAACCTTCTTCAGGAGTCCCTTTTAAAGGAGAGATCCGAAATGCCATGTAAGACAGAACTTTAGGGTCCTCCTCGATCAGATCCTTGTGGGGGTTTTCTCCCTGTAGAGCTCCATCCAGGAGGCTCCGTTTTCTCCTTTAGCTGAGGTCTTTAGATACACTAGTCCAAATGGATCAGCTATTCCTGCAGTGTTCTCATTTACCTGACCAAACGTAACTTTACTGATATGTCTTCTATCCATTTGCTCTAATGGTTTCATCTTCGTATCTAAAAAGAAATCTTTGCGCATTCTGTACCTGTGGTTTATCATATTCGTATCTTGTCAGACTGTCCTGTGTCATCGGTATGCCACTATTCTATTCATTGATGTTACCAGATAAATATGGCGTTTACATTAGTCACATTATTCTATACGACAGCGATATGAATAAACTAAATAATATTTTTAATAAATTTCATGCTATAAACATTGCACAATTAAAATAGATGTGGAAAATTAGAAATATTTATCTTTTATACAATATTGATATGTTTTTACACAATTAATTTTAAAATAATTATTTCAAAATAATAGCGAATCCTAGCGGTACATATTTGCAAAATTAAATTTAGAAAAAAATCGTTTAATAATTGATAAAAATATTTTAAAATATTATGTTTAAAACATTTAGCAATATGATTGTACATGAAAGAATTAAATTGATTCATATTGTATATGCGTATACAAAAATTTATAATTATTTCTAAATTATAACATAGAAATATTGTAACATGAAATATTATACACGTATCAACATGGTAACATTTTAAGTAATCAAACGTTTTTAAAAATAATTATAAAAAATTTATATCTCAAATTGAATTTTTCTAATCTTTAACAAATATTATTTAGAAATTTTATTCTGACAAAATTGCTGCGTTATGAAAAATCATGCCAACATAATTATTATGAATTCGTGATGAATATATTCACGAAGCGTACTTCTAAAGCGAAAATCTAAATCTATTTCAATCCATTTTCATTTATGAAACATTCTATCTTTTTGATAATACCTGTTCAATAAATTCATCTTAGATATGTGTCTATTAATAATAATATTTAATGTAAATTTAATTAAAATATTTAATGTTCATTCATGGATCATCATGAAGTATCAATTGCTATACTATCTCTAGATATGGATATTGAACAACTGTATGGATAAGTGAAAAACACCATAAAATTTATTCCCGAATACATTTTTTTTATCATAATTGAATATGTTGTATATACTTTGGAATATGATGCTAATCAATAAAATTTATTTTAACAATAAAACTAGATTAATTGTAACTTAACAATATCAGAACGTTTTTTTCGACATTATTTGTGCAATTAATATCATTAGTCTTATCTTATGATATTGCACCGCATTGCTAAACGAATATATATCGACAACTTAATATGTATGTATAAATACAATAAATTGAATTAATATTTATTCCATTTTTTCGAATTATATGAATACACGCACGTACGCCCGCACGCACGCACAAAATATATAATCGTTTATGCATAATTATTGATTTGAAAAATTTTTTATCATTCTTCTTTTTACCATTCGTTTAAACCTGAATATTATATAATCCATTTGAATATTACATAATCTAATATTACATAATCTAATCTAAGCATGAAACGCTAATTTCTGCTGAACACAACCATTAATAAATACATAATCATCATGAATCAATACGCAGTAAAAGCTTAAATGGACATAAGCTGTAAAGATGCATATTACTATTAGAAAAGATACGGTAAAAGTATCATTAGAAAATTTTTCAGTAAATGAATAGGCCTCATGTTGTGACAGCTAATTTGAAACATCAATTTTAATATTGATGCATCAGATTGACAGTAAGCTTGCGATACTATTGTAGATGAGAGAAAATCAAGGGAGCTTTCCAACAAGAGACAAAGATGACATAGTGTAACACAATGAATCATTACATCCTTGTTGTTCATCAATGTTCAGTAAAAATTAAATTAATAATTACTGTGTCACATAGTATCGCTCGTTGGAAAGCTCCTCAAGTATTTCATGCAAGAGAATTCCAGAATACAGAGATGCGCTGTCGCTTATAAATTATTGCGTTATGTGATTAGGATTTGAAAAAAATCCGAGTTTAAAAAACCAACAATTTTTTTTAAATCCGGATTTTTTAGGTTTTATGCATTTTTATTCTATATAGTCCACTAATGATTAGCAAGATTCACTATTTAATATAATATAATAGATAATTATATTATGAATTAATTTCAATTTAATTTATTTAATTTAATTTATTACTTAATATAACATACATGCACATTATATCTGTACAAGAAACATTCTATATAAAATCGACCCAATCAGTCTTTGAATCCGATCATTTTTTGAAAAAAAATAATTTCATCACGTGTGAGGTCTTAAAATGTTCGTTATGCGTAGATTTTTTTATAAATTTGCTCAAAAAAATAAAAATAAGAGGTTTTTAATACATTTTATATTTACAACAATTAATATTTGAAGGATGAAAATTAAAACTAAAAATAAATTAAGAAAGATTTAAATTTTCTAAAAATTGAAAGAAAATTTTGTCATGAGAAAATGTTATTTATAATTATTAATAGATAGAATTTTTAATGAAATTTTTCAAGACAATAGCATTTTTGAGAAATCATAAATTTTATATATTATAATTTAATAAATAATTGAAGAAAAAGTCACATAGCTTTTAATAATTTCACGCAAGTGTGTCAAGGCAAAAATTTCAATTTTTATTCGTTTACTTTATGATTTATAGAATAAAAACTATGCCAGTTTGAAATTTTTTAGTTTTGAAAAAATCAAAATTTTTGAAAATTTCTCTAAAAAAACTCGAGCTTCAACGTACGTCGAAAACTTCTATTATTTTTAATGTTCTATCAGCAATCGCCCTTCGTGACAATGATGCAATTTTGACTCCAAACACATCGATTTTTCACGGCTTTTTTAAATGGAGATTTTTTTTAGTGGGTGAACTCACTTCATCAAACTCTATATTTGATTAAAGATAGATCTTTACACAATTTTATTACAAAAATGTTGTTGTATAAAAGTACATTTGAATTTTTAACGAGTATTTACATTCTGTACATATGAAAATAAATTTCTCACTACATTTCATAACTTATATATCGACAAATCACAGCTGGATTATTGTTAACTTATAATCAGTCTTCCTGCACTTGTAAACGTAGCTGTTCGATCTCATCCTCGCTGCTCACAGAGCAATTTAAAATATTCATCTTTTTCTTTTTAGTACATTTCATATTCTTATCAAAACAGAGACGTTTTCGTCTGTTTTGTTCCAATTTCCTTTCCATTTTATCTAATAACAAATCATTATGGAGTATGCTTGGTTCTACGTCTTCCGCAACGCAAAACGAATCCTAAAATCATAAGTAAATAAATATTTAAATAGTATTTCATTAAATTTTCGTATATACAAATTGAATCGATTATTCGTACAAGTCGAAGGTAAAGTTAATACGTTAATATACGCACATAAAGGTACGAGTTTTGAATTTGCGACGAAAGATCTTGCTGCGAATAGATCTCTGTATTTAGACTAGGTGATCGTGGTTCCCTAAAATGAAAAGCGCCTGGTTTCTTTATCGGACTCTTAACAGTCTGCAGATAATGCGCATGCATATCGACTTGTTCCTGTGAGAATTGTGTATAGCTCACAAAATCCTCCAAATCCTCGTTATCTGTAACGATCTCGTCCGAACTAACATCAGAGTCTACTTCAACTTCGTCATCTATAAACTCGTTTTTGACGTTGTTTTTATCGTTAAGCTTATGCTTGCTTTTCTTTGCGACTTTTTCATTCAAAGGAAAAATTCGCTTTGGCGTATCAGAGTTAGATTTTAAAATATTTTTTTCTGCTGTACTATTCACATATTTATCAGGCGCTTTGAAGAAACTTAAATTTATCACATTCGAATCCTGCTGGGCTTTGTTTCGTTTTAAAGATAATTTTGAATGTCTATTATTTTTTGGTGTTGATATATCACATGGTTTAAGATTTTTCAAGATATTATCAAAATAACTGTTTTTCACTTTCAAGGTTTTTGATGTATCTTTAAAACAGCCATTTCTAATTACTGAGTTTCTCGATGTACTAGGCGTGTATCTAATATCGTCTTTCAAATTTTTCGATGAGTTGCGAAAGTAACAACTTTCAAGCTCATTAAATTGTTTAGCACTGTCTTCCGTAATCATGAAGTCTTCGTCAGAATCTAGGAAATCAAAATCTTGTTTAATAGTAGTAGATTTAGCAGCGGAATTGCAATGAGTATTTAATAATGTAACATTATCTGTTCTCGAATTTGAATTGCTTTTCCCAGCTTTGATGTCATTTTTAATATTGACTGAAATCCAGCCACTACTGTCTTTATTAATCGATTCTTCTTTATTTACAGAAGGTTTTGATGTTGCCAAATTTCTTTTCACTCGTGCTATTTCACCAACAGCTTGAGTTATAGATAAGAAACTCTCTTC